TAAAATGTTTGAACCACAATAAGCCTCAGCTCAGCCATCGACAAATCCTTAAAAAAAAAAAAAAAAGGAGCATAAAATTACATGTTAAAAGAATAAAAATGCATTCGCCCAATTAATTTTCTGAAATCTCATTAAAAAATTTAGCCTGACTAAGTCAGACTTCTGACCTGAATTTTAATCATCTTTACACTGAATGGGTCTTTTTTTTCCCTGATATTTGCAATGCATCATTAATTTTAAGGCAACTGTTTCTGTGATTTTAAAAAGCATACTTCATCAGAATGACATTTCCTGTAAACGAATTTCACCTTTAAAGACATCTGACATTGTGTGTAGGGAACTTCTAATGGGTTCGGTATACGTGTATACGGTGATGTGTTTTAAATCTGTGTTACACAGAAGAGGGGCATGATTTACAGAGAGTCCATATTGTCAGGCTCTTCACGAGGCCATCCCTGCTCAGCTCTTCACAATCTGGCTAATTTCAAGCCCAAAGCTCATCTTCCCTCTCGTAGATCTCGTGACGAGAAGGAGGGGTGCCGTGGGGCCCCAGGACCCGGGGTGACTCCTGGCTCTGCCCCTCAAGAGCAAAACGCACACGTTATTTACCTCGATTTCCTTCCCTGCGAAACAGAGTTCTGAATAAGACCTGGTTCTCTGAGTCGGGAGGAGGATGGAACGAGGTCAATGCCAGGTGTCACTACTGGCACCATGGCCGCCATGACTGTCCCAACCTGAAAGTCTAGACTCTGCTCCGAGGAGCAGGCGTGTGGGAACAGTGAGCAAGATGCCCAAAACTTGGAAGTCACCTGGTAACAAACCTAGAATCATCTCAGCTGCGGTGCGTCCCCCAGGACAACTCCCACTAACTGAGCTCAGAGAAAGCTGAGCTTAAACATACATAAAAGAATCTGGGAACCAGCCCCGATGACTAACGAGCCAAGACTTGAAAGGGGAAAGGCATAAAGAGCGTCAGTCATTCCACCACGAGGTTGGATACATCCTCGACTTCTCTCTCCCTCATCCCTTCAGTTACCAAGTGCAGTTGCCTTCCCCCCCCCGGAAGTCTCTGGAATCTTTTCTCCCTGTGTTCAGCCGTTTAAGACCGAGACAGGGAAGGACAGGGAAGGCAGGCTTCCTCCTATTTTCACCTTACTTGTGCCTTGAGTGCCAGCAACCAGTGTTCTTTCAAAAACGCAAACTCCCTTGTCCACCTAAGACCCTTAATGGGCTCATCATTCATTCACTATAGACTCAATTCCAGGTGACACAGCCTTTCATCAACACCAGGAAGCACTGGCATTTAAACACCTGCCTAACCTGACTGGTCCTGCACCTTCAAGACTGGCTCCTTCCTCCTCCTGGGACATCCTCTCCGTCCTGCCCCACACTCCTGATCGTTGCCAGCCCACACATCATCCCTCTAGAGCTCCCCCGTCCCACCCCACCCTCTGGGCTCCCTCAGCATCTGCCCATCCCTCTGTGGGGCCTTCTACCTCTCATACGGACTGTCTCTACTTCTGTGTGGGGCTCCTTAGCAGACCCAAGGCAGAAATGAGACAGGTCCTTGCTGAATTTATGACACGTCGGCAAACACTTCTTGAATTTTAAAAGCTGTTAATATTTGGCCATTAAATCTTACCTAACTACCAACACTGCTTTGGGAAGATTTTTATAAAGATTTTGGCCTGTGTGATTCAGATCTAAGAGGCAGCTGTCTATCCATCCCGTGAAAAGTAACGCGCATTCCTCTTTCTCTGAATAGGGCCGAATGTAACTGAACTTGGCGTGCCCCAAGCAGGTTTGCAAAGACTTTCCAGATGGAAGACACATTAACCAGGGCTTTCTCAGACAAGAGCACCTTTCTCCTTCTTGGAAATTCACGTGGTTCTTAGTGGGTCAGCTATGTTTCATTCCTGACGAAAATGGTCTGCAGCACACTGGTAAAATCATAAAGCATCGGGACATTAAAGCTCTTTTTCTCAACTGCATTCATTCGTTCATTCACTCATTCATTCATTCATTCATTCATTCATTCATTCATTCATCTGAAATCTCAATGATTTCACATGTGATTCCACTGGGTTCAGCAAACATATTTTCATAAGCTGATAGCTCTCACAGCTAGAAAGCTCCTTGAAATGACAAACCATTAGCCTGCAGCACAGAAAGTTAACGAAACCAGTTTTGAGTGTTTGTTAAGTTGTTCTTTTGACACTGTGGGTATTTCCAACTCTGGGCTCCTGAGTCGTGAAAACTAAAATGAATGTTAAAATATGAGAATAAAATCAGTGACAGGGGTGCCTGGGTGGCTCAGTGAGTTAAGGTGGGGGGACTCTTGGTTTCAGCTCAGGTCATGATCTCACGGTTTGTGAGATTGAGCCCCACACCAGGCTCTGTGCTGACAGTGAGGAGCCTGCTTGGGATTCTCTCTCTCCTTCTCTCTCTCTGCCCCTCCCCAACTCACACTCATGTTCTCTCAATAAGTCAACTTTCAAAAAAGAGTAAAATCAGTGACACACATCTCCTTGACACCCACAATGTCAGACGCCATGATGCTTTAAAGTATACCATCTCACAGCCCCATTTTCCAGAAGCGGGAACTGAGGCTCAGACAGGTCTTTTACCCAATGTCACCTGGCTGGTGACGGATGGAGTTGGGAAGTGAGCCCCACCTGGTCTAGAGCACAGTATTTTTGTCACTGTGGGCCCTGGCTCCTTCCTCTAAGGATGATTTCAGGGAAACAGCAGCGTGTCCTGCCCCGAAGGAAAATGCCTCTGTGGTCAATTTGAGGAATTTCTATGGCCCGAAACTGGCAAGATTCGGGCCCTGATGTCTCCCCAGCTGGTGTTTAAATACCGGTGCTTCCTGAGTGGAGGAGAGAGGAAGCGTCTGTCTTCATTCCCGCCCGAACCTGCAACAGTGCCGGTGTGAACACGGCTGTGGACCCCAGTTCTGCAAACCCGGCCAGATGCTGGTGGGTGTGGGGGCACCTTCACCGACAGCCGCTGCCCAACGACGAGTAATCGCATCTAATTACACTTAACTATGTCATTACCCACTCCAGCATGTGCGACGAGAGGCCCGGACGCTGCGGCCGCCGCAGCCCGCCGCCGCCTCGCCTTGTTCGTGAAATAATTACGGGGCTCTCTCCTCTGCCAAATGAGGCTGTAATTAACCCTAATTGCTCAAAATGCAACTGGCTAATTCTGGGAGATTAATCAAGGGGGACTCAATTGTTAGTGAATGACTTAATATGACAAATTGCTACATCACCCGAGGAGGCCCCACTGCCCCCAGCCATCAGTGAGATGTCCTGGTGGACTCTGGACCAGCCGTGTCCATAGGCCTTTGGGCTTTCTGGGATCTGCGTCCCCAAATTCCACGTAGGAAATGGGCCTGCATCCCATCCAGTAATGGGAACGAAGTACGAACAGTTTAGATGTGCTTGGACAGCCTGCGAGTGCAAGAGCATGGGTACACACATACACACACACACACACACACACACACACACACATAGACACACACACACAGACACAGCCTCTACCAGTTCACACATCTGGCCTCTGCGTGAACCTATAAAGGTGCTCCCTCCCTTGGGCTGACGCAGCTCTACCCTGGGAAGCATGGCTTGATGGGAGCTCGGGTGTAGAAGGATTTCAGACCCGTCTTCCTCCTTGGCCAGGCGCGTTTGTGCAGCGTGCACCTGTACAACTGCACATGGCAACCCTGGCCAAGCAGGTCAAACACCAGCCCACCTGAAGTCCTCTGACAAGAAATAGGCAGTTAGTAAAGGCTGGTACAAGCCTTCCGTGGCTCAAGGAGGTAGCTGTCTCCGAATCTCCCCCTGATTCAGGTCTCACGGCTTTGGGGAAAAAGCCAACCCTGGACCTGATTTTTCATCATTCCAGGCTGTGCACCAGACCCTACAGCACCTGGCCCTGGCTCTCTGTCCACCCTAGGCCTTTGTATGCCACTTCCTCAAGAAGCCTCTCTGGCCATCTAGTTTGGATCGTGTGCCTTTTTCGAGCTCCACGGGCCCCCGAGTTTCTTCTGCCCGGCTCATCTTTCTCCCCCAGGAGGCTGTGTGCTTTCTAGGAGCAGAACTGGGTCCGTCGCACACACCACCAGGCAGGGCTATACTACACGTATCTGTAGTTCATTCAGTCAGCAGGCATCCTCTGTGCCTGGCCTGGGATGGTGTGACCAGTGATGCCTCGCCCCAGAAGGTCCTCTGTTTAGGAAGGGAGACAGACTCAGGAACCAGCTCCCCAGCGGGACGCCGTGGCCATAACCCAGCACCTGTGCGGCACAGAAGAAGGAGTGGGGTGGAGCCGGAAGGCTTCCTAGAAGCAGCAGCATTTGGACTGAGGCCTGGAGGAGTTGGGGAGGGCACCCAGGCCCAGGGAACAGTGTGCACAAAGGCACGGAGAGTGAGGGCGGCTCGGAACCCCAGAAACTGTCTTCAGGGAAGCTGCAGGTGGCTGCCTGGCTCTCCAAGGATCTACATCAAGGCCGAGACAGGTGTGAGGAAACCAGCGTCCTGAAGCTCTGCTGGTTCTAGACAAAGAGGCTAAAGAGGGCCAGGGCACAGCTAAATCCAAAAGGAAGGCCGGCCTCAGCTCAGAGCGAGGAAGCACTTTCCAACCCCGCGCACAGGCTGCCCCAGAGCCCCTCACTCTCTCCTTGGGGCCTCCACAACATGGCCTTTCTACCCAGCGTGGATCCCACCGAAATAAAGCTGTTCCAGGCACACGGCAATCCCGGGGACAGACCAGAGTCCGGCACAGAGAAGGCTTCTCTGAGTGCTGCTGACTGAAACAAGGGCTGAGCTGGTGGGCAGTGAGCTCCACTCCCACCCCTGGATGCATTCGAGAAGCGACTCTGTCTAGTGGCTGCTGAGGGGCGTCCTCCAGTGCCCGGAATGAAGCAGCCTCAGGGATCTGTGTTCCTCGGTGAATCCCCAGTGCTCTGCAGACAAAGGAAGAGGCCTCACCTGTGGGTCAGGAGGGTGTGCGGGCCCCGGCGTGTGGCAGAGGTTGTTCGGGCTCCCTCCGTGGGGCATGTGGCTGGGCTGTCCGGCCATCCTGCATGCCAGCCTCACAAGGCACAGGCTGCAAAAGAAAACGAGGGCTTTCTTAGACACACGCCTGTTTGCTTTCTCTGCCGGATGGCACTGGGATGAGGCGGGACTGTCAGATTTTACATTTTCCAGATAGACCAGCCCGGGTGCTGGGCGGCCATCCAGCCCAGCAGTGCCTGGGCTAAGACTCGATACCCGACGTGACACGCTTTCCCTCCATTATCCTGTCTGACTAGGTCGCTGGGGTTATCTCTCCCCACTGGATAGAGGAGGTGGAAACATGCTCTGTGCAGGGAAAAGTCTAAAGGTGGCCCCCCTGCCAGCCAAGGATGTGCCAGATTCAACCCCACAAGTGCTAGGCTCCAAAGCCTTGTTCTTTCCACATTACTGTCCACCCCGTGCCTCCTGGCAGAAAGTTACAAAGCCCCGTCCCCCATTACCACCCCCGACAAAAACCCAGGTTGGCAGCCTGGGTGGTCAGGAGAGAGACCGTGAGCCAGACTGCATGCAGCGGCTGCAAGAAGGACCCAACCTCTCCATCCTCGCTGGGCCCTGATGCACAAAGCACTGGGAAGGCCAAGGCCATGGGGGCCCCTCACAGTGCCGCATACACCTCGGCGCAGGCGCAGAGCCCTCTGTACAGGGGAACCGCCCCTTCTACCCCCAGGGGTTGGGCTGCCACGTCAGAGGCCCCCAGGAGAGTCAAGGACGCTAGCCACAGCAGCTGCTCCTGATTAAGCACCCACTAGGTGCCAGGCCTGCGCTAAATGCCGTCTAAGAATCACTCCCAATGTCCCTTCCACCCCCGGGGTCACAGGCAGCCTCTGCTGGCCTCCCTAGCAGAGGCCTGCCTCGGGGGCAGGGACCAAGGCTGAGGCACACAGAGGCAGCTGTACAGCCGGAGGGGAGAGCCAGCATCCGGCTACCATGAGCCTCCTGGATGCAAGGGAAAAAGCCCTCCTTGGGAGGAAAGCCTTTCCTCCACCCACAGGCATTTCTGCAGCGCCTTGTCTGTCCAGGGCCAGGCCTGCGGAGGATGAAAGGGGCTGACGCCCAGGAGGCACCCGTCACACTGCAGGCATAAGGTGAAGGCTCCCGAATCTGGCTGCCTCTGCTTCTACCAGACCCCGCCCTGGCTGTCCCACGGACTCGACACATCCCAAATAGAGCCCCTGAGGACTGGCCCAGGCTATTGGAGCAGCTTCGTCTATATCCTCTGGAGAGCCAGAGTCCCTAGGAATCAATGACCTCAGTCAATGACCAAGGGGTCCAGATGAAAGTCAGTGCCCTTGCCTTGGGTCAGGATACTCTGAGGTGTAACCCACACTCCAGAGCCCTGGGTGGGGCCTCCCCCGCTCCCTTATGGTCTTCCCCACTCGGCCTTCTCCGGGTCTGCTACTGGGGAACCAACCTAAGACATCACTTTCTCCCCGGACACACTCTGTCTCTCTCAATCTTGAACCTGGTCATCTATACCAGCCAAATCCCAAACAGAGAGGCTTCCCCTGGTCTAGTGGCTCAGCAAGCTGCGGTACATACCTCCTAAGTAAACACATGCCCCCATTAACAGGGGTGTCTGGGCTGCGGGAAGGGAATCTCTTCCTTCCTCCCCGCCGTAGGTTTTTCCAGCCACAGTGGGTGGCATCCAGCCCTCCCAGGCTCAGGGATGTCTGTGATGCCTTCTGATCTATCAAAGCATGTCCACCAAGCCCCAAATGACCCACGATGCTTGCCTCCCCAGCTCTGCCCCCGAAGGGACCCCCGGCCACTCTAGAGCCTGCACACTGGCATGATGGGGTCCAGTGCCCATGCTTCCTCTGCCCTCCAGACGGGCCCAGCTCCTCCCTCACACGTTTCCTCAGCTGTTTCGGGGGGAAAGCCGCTCTCCGGCACACCAAGTAGACGGCAGAAATCAAGGCACCCAACTCAGGCTAGCAGGGGGAGCCTCCGGCGGCGGAGAGGGCATGCAGGGTGGGGGCTGCGTCCCGCCAAAGCACAGTCCGTGCTGTCTCCTGTCTGTGAAGCTGCCAAGACGGAGCCAGTTTTGACCCACAAACATGGCATTTTATGTGATAGATGTCTTGCTCCCTTTTTTCTCTTATCTCGAATAGGCAGCAGGGGGAGGGCACCGTGGGGGTGTCTATACCTCTGAGGCCTCTCCCCGCATCAAACCCCTCCCTCTGTCCCAGCGCGGGACTCACCTCCCACCTGGGTCCCCAGGTCTCCCAGTGCCTGTGCCCCGCTCACTGAGCCCCGCTCCACGTGGGCCACGGAGGCTTCCGGAGATGGGACCACAGCCCCCTCGGCATCTCCCGGCCATCTGTGCCTGAGATCCCACACCGGAGCGCACGCCCCCAGGGTGACAGGGTGAGGACCAGGAGGAAGAGCCCCAGGATAAACAGACAAACACGAGCAGCTTCCCGAGGCAGCGCTGTTACTCAGGGGGGTAAACGTGTGCAACAATAAACCGGATTTGGAGGGAACAGAATGTAAAATGCGCATGCATTTTAAGATAAAACCGGAGACTCCTGCAGGCTCTGCGGCTGCTCGGGGCTGCACCCCCAGACCCCTCAGGGTGACATGTTCACCGTCCTCTGCCCTTAGGGAGACCTCCAGGGAAAGGTTGGAGAAGAACTGTCTTCAGCAAGAAGGTTCTGTCTTTATCTTAGAAGGTGCCAGAGTGGCCTAGAGGCCAGGTGCACGCATGTACTTGCTCATCCGCCCACCTGCTGACTCCGGATGCCCCTTCCTTCATCACACCCCACCCAGCCTGTGGGGGCCCGTGGGCCTGGGTTTGTATCTCAACACTGTCATTCACCAGCCAGGAGCCTGGGCGCCACACTGGGCAGAAGCTTAGCAGGCATTTGCCTGGGTCATTCCTACCCGCCCCCGCCCCACCTCGTGTGGTATTAACAGCGCCCTCCCAACCTCTGCACCCAGAGGCAGCAGACTGCACGCTCTCAGGGCTTCTCGGGAGACCCCAGACCTCACACGGGGCTCCGGGGGCACTGTCCAGGGGTCCCTGGCCTCATCAGAAATAAGAGTAATTAATAATGATCAGTCAATGATTATGTACCCTTCTTATGCTAGGCCTTGCTCTATACACTTCACCTCTTAGCCCACCTCGTTTTAACAACGCCATGAGATAGGGTCTATTATTGTCCCATTTTTCAGAAGAGGAAACCGAGGCACAAGAAGGTTAAGAGATTTTTCCCAGATCCACAGCAGTGGAGCCAGGACTCAAACCCACGGTGGCATCGTTGCCTAAAACCACCACGCTGCACTCCTCACAGGCTCTCAGTGGCAATTCATCATCTTTCTTTGTTACATACAAAGTTGAAAACTTCCTATGTCGTCTCCCCACTGAACAAACAGTCCCCTCAAAAACAGGACCTGTGCTGGGTGGGCAGGGGTGAGGGGCACGAGGGGCCATTTCCCCCACAGGGGCCCCACAGACAGGAGCCCCCAGGGTCCATGCCCTTTGGGACGGCACCGTGGTGACTCAGCTCTGCCGTCCCCAGTACCTTTCCTGCCAACCCCCTGGAGCTTTGGTAAATTACTGTGCCTCGGAGCGGTTCTGTCCAGAACCTAATGGAAGGGCGGCTCCATGTCCTCCCCAGTGAGGAAGAGGGGCCTTTGTTCTAGGAAAGAAGCAGCCGAGGGGGACTCTGCAAGCCACAGAGTCCCAAGTGTCAGAGAGGGACACTACACAGGGGAAGGAGGGAAGAGGGAACGCGGGAGGGGAGAGGTGGGGAGGAGAGAAGGAGTGGGAAGGGAGGGAGGGAGGTAGAGAAGGAAGAGGGGATGGTTGGGAGAAAGGCATGGAAGGTTCTCTGAAAAGAACCTTCAGTTTTTTCCAGTGGGCCAGATCTTTCCCTTGCATCCTGGGGCTGTTGGGAGACCCATTTTATAGATGAGGACACAGGCTCAGAGAGGGGAGGCTGGAGGTCATGTGGCCAGTAAGCTGCATGGGGAGATTTACTCTCACTGACTCCAAAGCCCTTCCTGGGCCCAAGATAGCCACTGCCTCTCGCTCTCCAGGGGTGCTGGATTTCAGAGATTTTGCATTCTGTCCGTCTATACCTCAGTGGAAACCCAACCCCTTCACCCTGGAAATTCCTGCCAAAAACTGCTTCTTAGGGAGTGTTGATGCAGAAAGGCCGAGGCACACAGACACAGAGAGCAGGGAAAGTCCCTCAGCACTCATGGGCATCTCATGGGCATCTCATGGGCATCTCATGGGCATCTCATGGGCATCTCTGGGTAGCACAGGGAGCAAGCTGGCTGCCTGTGCCTGGTGGCTCCCGCCAAGTTGCAGAACAATGAGGCCCAGGCAGCCAAAGCCCAAGTCAGGGGCCAAAAATCCGTGGAATGTGAGACCCAGGCACAGACCACACTGAGGGCCACCTAAAAGAGGGCCTTTCTTCTACAGGAAGCAAGGGCCTTTCTTCTACAGGAAGCAAGGGCTCTGCATTTCCAAGGCAGGGGGGATGCACAGTGTGGCTCCCAGCCTGGGTTCTCAATGTGTGTGCGTCTACCAGGTGCCCGGGGACCGAATCAGAATGCGTCTAAGGGTTTAAGCAAGGCCTGCTGGGGAGTCCAACTGCCTAGGTTCAAATCCTGGCCTGGCTTCATTTAACCACGCAGTGTCTCAGTTTCCTCATGTGGAAAATGGGGCTAATAAGTAAGATGTTCCTCTTAGGGTCACTGAGAGAATTAAACGTGTTACCAGATGTAAATGCTTACAGCAGAGCCCGACACAGGTGAAGGCCCTCTGAGATGCCAGTCGCTCCCAGTATGGTTATCACTAACCCTCACTGGGCAACAGAGGGCTGAGTGATCGCCTCCATGTGACAGACACGGGAACTGGTGCTCAGAGAGGGGTAGGGGCTTGCCCAGGGTCACGTAGCTGGTAAGTGACAGAGCTGGGGCTCTTGGCCCCCAGATCTTGCTCTTTCTGCCTCACTGCACGTCCTCCTCAGGACCACTCTGGAACAAATGCTTTTATCACTCATGTGAAGCGTGGCTACC